GAGACATCTACAAGCCATGGAGCAGCTGGGGGCCACCAGACACTGGGGGATACAAGCAAGGATCTCCCCTCCAGGGGACAGAGAAAGCATGGCTCTGCGGGTGCCCTAACTACCCGCTCCCAGGCTCCAGCACCGGGGGACAGTAGTTTGTACTCTTCAAAGCCCCCCACTGAGTGGTGGCTCAAGACGAAGACCCAGATGCAAATGTTTGCTAGGCAGTGCAGGACGGGAGGCTCAGCACCCAAAAAGACCCAACCCCAAGAGGAGCAATGCCCAGCTGGGACCTTGGCAGCTCAGGGAAGGGTCCACCTTTGGCACTCAAGCTGCATAACCACCAACACCTCGCTGGCCCCCTGCCCAGGAGACCCTGCGGACAGTAGGATGGCATGAGGTTGGGCAGGCGGGGCTCCCACTTACATTGGGCACAAAGCCGGGGGTCAGGGCTTTCTCAAACACTGCGTCCCAGTTCACGTTGGCCAAGTAGGGTGTGCTCTGGACGTCACTGAGGCTGGACAGACGACTCTCAGGGTCCTTGGTCAGGAGCTGCAGTCAGAGGGCAAAGATTTCTTGAGCTGTGTGCCCCATGGACATTCACGGGGACTCAGCATGCGGGGAGCACGTGCGGTCTCGAGATGAAGATCTCTCTCTGGTCTTTAGGACAACGAGGCCATGTCCTGCCTGGGCCGAGGTTCTTGAAAGGTGTAGGGGAGAAAGGCTCTTTGAAATCTCACAGGACGACACTCTTGGTTTAACGCAGAGGCGGCACCAAGGGGCTCCAGCTTCACAAGGGCGAGGATAGCGCAGGGCTGGGCAGCGTTTGGGTCACAGGGTCACTACAAGACCCTCACTCACTTCACGGCTTCCCTCCTTGCCTCTCAGCCTCTAATTTGCTGGTGCCCTCGTTTCGACACCAAATGCCTTCTGGCGCCCTGACCAGGCAGGCCAGGGCGTGCTGGGCACGCTTACCTTCTTCAGGAGGGCCACCATGCCCTTGCACCAGGTGGACGAGTAGTGGACACGCTCCACCTTGAACATGTTGAGGATCTCATCGATGGGGGTGGCTGAGTGGATTTCGTACGGCCTCTGCAAGCAAAGGACAACAGCCAGAGTCAGAGAGAGAGAGAGAGAGAAGGAGAAGAAGAGAGAGAGAGAGGAGAGAGCAGCTGGCAGGGCCCTCAACATTCATGCCAGAGACCTGGGTTCAAGGACCACCCAATGCTATCGGTGGAGGCTTCCCATCATTGTGACGCAGAAGAGCTTTCAGTGGGACTTCCAGACTAAAATAGACTGGGGAGAAAGCCCTGGCAGTCTCCATCTGAAAACCAGCCAGTGGGGACCCCGAGGACCGCAGTGGTCTAATGTACACCAGTCCTGCGGACGGCTCAGGGCACCAGCCAGTGGGGACCCCGAGGACTGCAGTGGTTTAATGTGCACCAGTCGCGCGGACGGCTCAGGGTATCTGAAAACCAGCCAGTGGGGACCCCGAGGACCGCAGTGGTCTAATGTGCACCAGTCCTGCGGACGGCTCAGGGCATCTGAAAACCAGCCAGTGGGGACCCCGAGGGCCGCAGTGGTTTAATGTGCACCAGTCGCGCGGACGGCTCAGGGCATCTGAAAACCAGCCAGTGGGGACCCCGAGGACCGCAGTGGTTTAATGTGCACCAGTCGTGCGGACGGCTCAGGGCGGGGCAGCGTTTTGCTTCCTTGTGCCTGGGACTCTGGATGGAGGCAGGCAGTAGCCGCAGCCCTCAGGAGGGTTTCTTCTCTCCTTACGGGAGCCCTGGTGTACTAGCCAGGACCCGTGAGCTGCTAGGAATCAGTCTCAGGAGGCTCTGCAGGGGCCGGGCAGTGATGCTGGCCGGGCTCTTGTCCCGGGTCCTGTAGCTCCGGAGAAGTAAGGCAGAACTACACCCAGGCTGCCTGCCTCCAGAGTCCCTGCTGCAGGCACAGGCCACCTCGGGTAGGACAGGGGGCAGAGGGAGGCACCCAGCAATACTTCCAGGTCCTGCCCTGTGTCTGGGTGGGCCCTATCTGGTCTGCCTTCCCTAAGAGTTGGGAAGAAGTCCCTTCCACCTTCTACGTTCTGTGACACGGACCCATGGGGTGGAGGGTGGGCAGGGAGGGTATGTCAGCTGGCTCCCACACACTTCTGGGCTTACACCCTCACTGGCACCCCATCCTGGACTTTCTCTACAATGTCACATCAGTTGTGGTGTGTGTGTGTGGGTGGGGTGGGGGGGTGTTTTCCCTCTGAGCCCCTCCCCCAAGCTCACCAGGCTTTCTTTTTGCCATTTCCAGATTTTACTGTGGTTTGGCTGCAAGTTTCCAGATCAAATTAGTTTCTCAACTGACCGTGTGTAGGCATCAGGCTTCACAACAAGGGTTGCCTCCCCTGACCACTGGTCTGTCTTGGGAGAAGTCCAGCCAGAGGCAAGAACTGTGAGACTCCATCTCACGTTACCGTGGATGTGCGGTCAGGAGAGGCCAGTCCCTGGAGCAGGACATTGTGCTTTGGTAAAGCGGAGGGCGGCGAACCAGAGGCAGGCCCTCGAGGAGGTGGGCTGATACAGTGCCTGCAGCTATGGGCTCGGGCACAGGAACGAGGGAGAGGACGTTGCAGGACCGGCGACACTCTGTTCTGCTGTGTGCGGTCACTATGGGACAGAATTGACGACCACAGCGGCATCCCCTGAATGGGTCAGCTGTCCTTCCACTTCCTTTCTGGGCCCCCTGTTTCCATTTCCCCTTTTTCCCTGCCTCCTGGGCTCTGTTTGGGGGCAATTGCTGCCTTTTCAGCCTCACCTGGTGGATTGATGGGAGGCGCAAGTTTGCTATTATTCGCTTTATAGACTTGTCTGCTGTTTGAAAGTTCAACCCCGGGTGGGTTCTGTGCCAGGCTTGAAGGGGTCTAAGGGCCATGATCTCAGGCTTTTACCTGCCTCTCTCAGAGCCATAAGTCTGATTTTGCTTATGATGTTGAATCTTGTTCTACACCTTTTCCTTCCTTCCCTGCCTGCGACTTCCTCCCACTCTCCTGACGGGAGTGGTCTGCTGCAGTGGCCAGGCACTGGGCACCATCTAGTTCTTCTGGTCTCAGAGTCCTGGAGGCTGTGGTCTGTGTGACCCATCCATCCTTTGGATTCATCGTTTCTTCATGCACTGCTCTCCTGGGACCAGCACGAGGGGTGTCTGGCCATCCCTTATGCCCTCCCACGCCCTGCACCTCACCGCATCTCCACCCCTGGCTTTGTGATCCAAGATGCCTTCAGGTTGATGTCAGGGTCAGCACGAGTCCTGACGAGAAGAAAAGGCACCCAGTTCCCAAGCACATCCACAACGTCCTGGGTGCTGGCAGGCTTTGAGGCTGCTGTGTTGGTAACTAACCCCTGTGGATGGAAGTCATGGCCTGGTGTGGATTCCCTGCACGAAGATGCTGCCCCGGGATGAGGGCTGGCCCGTCAGCATGCTGTGCTGGTCTGGGCAGCCCTGGGATGCTGGAAGCATCAAGCCTTCCAATACCAGCAGGGTCCCCATGGGGGGCAGGTTTCAGCAGAGCTTCCAAGACTCAGATAGACTGGAAGTGTAGACCGGCCGATCCACTTCTGAGGAGCCGCCCACAGAAACCCCGTGGAACAGACCAGAATGCGGCCTGTGAAGGTCCTGTGGATGAGTCCCCCTGGCTTGACGGACACTCAAAATGACACCAGGACTGTAACAGTGGCCTTGAGCAGACCAAGAATCATGACCACGGCATGTGGCAGGGTGATTTCGCTTCTGTAGTGCGTGGGGCTACTTGAACGGTCAGCCACTGAACAGCCACCACCACCACCACCTCTTCCACGCCAGCATCTCTTCTACAATACTGGGGGTGCCTGCTCAGAGGCCTTCTGTCCCACCCAATTCTGGGTCCTCCAGATTCCAGCGTGGGGCCCCCGGATGCCAGCTATGGCCATGGCAAGGACAGGTCAGGATCTCCTGTCAGCCCTGCCCCTCAGATCCCATCAAAAATTAGATGCCAGCTGCAAGCGCACAGGATCTCAATCCCTGTGCATGGAAGCATCCAGTCCACAGGGACAAGCGCGTGGGTACCAATTCCCTAGAACAATGAAGGAGCACCTCCACCATCACCACAGGGAGGCTGCATGCAGAGAACATCTGTCCGCGGGAATGTGTCCTGGCCTGAGTCTATGGGGTGTCCCCCAAAGGGAGGGCTTGTGTGTGATGGGGCTGCCTCCACCACCAGCTGCTCTTTGAAGGGAGAACTCTCCTCCCACCGCAGGACGCTGAGTTGATCCAGACTCACGGCGTCGCCACGTGACAGCACTGGGCGTGTCACAGATTGGAGAGTCGCTTCCGGCTCACAGGGGCCCGTGCACAACAGAAGGAAACACCGCCCTGTCCTGCGCCGTCCTCACCACGGTCCCTCTGCCTGACCCACAGAAGCAGCCTCAGTGTCCGTCCGTCTCTCTGAGTCTGTTTCAGCAAGTCCCCCCGTTTCACCCGTCCATTGTGCAGGGCACCGTGTTTCCACCACCCGGATGGGCTCTTTAAGCCAAATCTGGCCTCCTCTCGCCACCGATCCCTCCTGATGACATGTCCTTCGCAAGCAGGAAGGACGATGACCAGTCCCTGGAGAAGGACATCATGCTTGGTAAATGCAGAGGGGCAGGTTTTCTTGGCTTTTATGTATTTTTGTGGGAGCAGATGGCCAGGCACGTTCTACAGCGGAGCCGATGCAGTTGTTGTTCGAGGCCGTGTTGTCCTGGCGAGCTCGTGCAACAGAACGAGACACTGTCCGGCCTGCGCTGTCCTCACAAGGGTGCTTATCCCGGGGCCCATGGGTGCAGCCACGGTGCCAGTGCATCTCCTTGAGGGCCTTCCTTGACCTTACCAAGCATGATGCCCTCTTCTGAGGCCACCAGGCCCCACTCTGTCACTTGAACTTCACTTTCAGCTTCTGTTGGGGTGGCTGGTGAAACAGGTCTTTCTCTCAGGAGACTGGCAAATGGAGCAATAGTCCGCCTCTGGCATTGCGACTCTCCGGCCTTCGGGGGCATCCACTCAGAGAAGCAGATGATCTGCCGTCTCTGCCAGAGCAACACCGGCAGTGGGACCTCACAGAGGGCAGGTGTGCCTCTAGTTCAGAAAACTGGAAAAGGAAGCGTTAATTTACACAGAAAGAGTGAGAGAGACCCAAGGGGAAAAGTATCCACAGACCCGTCCTTGTTACCATTAGACCTGGGCTGGGCCTGGGAGACCCTTGAATCACAGGTTTTATTTCCCCCTAAAACTTTCTCACCGAGAACCCCAGAGATGAAAACGCGAACAGCAAGGGATACTTCCTCAGGTGATGGCAACGGCCGAGCGCCGGGAGTGTGGCCGGTCGAACGGGGCTTCCTTATTCCTTGAATTCCTTAACGGGGCGGGTGGGGGGGTGTCCTTGAGTTTCAGACCCCCCAGCTCGAAAAGGACCAAGGATCCAACTGGTCCTGGCCACCCTCGCAGCGTTATCAACAACAGCAGTAGCAAGACAAAGGCACTGCCGTTGTTGAGTTGATTCCGACTCACAGGGCCCCTCTACAGGGTTCCTGAGAGGCGTCTTGCCTTGCGGTGGGTTGGGACAGCCCCGTGCCTAACCCACCCCGCCTGCGTGCCAAGCCGACTCCGACTCATGGTTGCTGCTGGGAGGGGCCCTCTCAGAGTTGGTCCTGACCCACAGTGGACTCTCTGCGGAACAGAGAAAGCACTGCCCGGCCCTGAGGCACCAACGTCCCCATTGTTGTTTTGTTCCAACCTGCTGTGGCAGGCTCGGGGCCTGTCCATCTTTATCGTCGAACACCTCCCCTCCTCCCCACCACCACACACACACACTATACCAAGCATGATGTCCTTCTCCAGGGACGGTCCTCTCCGATAACATGTCCCAAGAAAAGTGAGACCAAGTGGCACCATCCTTGGCACATTTTGGCCGTTCTTCATCCAAGACACAACACCTTGCACTTTGGGCAGCCCGGGGCACTTCCACTCGTCCTCACTAGCACCGCAGTTCACACGCATTTCCCATGTCCGACTTTCCTATGCAT